AATAAAAAAATTATCAGCTTCAAAACCACTGCAGTTTTGAAGATGATCACATGTCTTCTAGGAAATACCTATTATAGAAAATTCAAGAATTTGTGGTGTCCTGATTCTTAGTTGCTGTTATTTCTATGCTTTGTAAAGTGTTTTTACATCCACTCTTCTTATTTAACCTTTAAAACATTCCAGTAAAGCATACAGGGGAAGTATTATCCCCATTTCTTAAAGAGAGTGGGGAGAGGTGTAAACAATAAACCAGACGACAAAACATTAGAATTCTTGATGGGGCACAAAACTGATTCAGCCTTAAATATAATTCGCAAAGCTCATCATAACAACATAGAAGTGACAAGTCAAATTTTCCATAAAACAAAACAAAAACCAATTGTCTGGGGTCCCTTTAAAGACTCTGATCCCATCCATGAGTTCTGAACTGGTAGGTGAGAGGCCGACTCTGATCCTGTCTTTCCCCTCTCCCCATCCCAATCTCATTGAAGGCCAGGGGCAACCACCTGACTTTCCCATTTTCTCCATGACAACTGCTTCACCCAGAAAGGAGAAATAACAGGCCACTTAACCTGCGCCAAAGGGCACTAATCACTCTACAGGCAAATGTAAAATGTTCTGACGCAAATCTGAGATAATTTAACTATGGAATATTATGTATTAAGAACAGGAAAGTTTCTGCTTTGACTTTTAAGGGACTGTGTGAAGAGAATAAGCTGTGAAAATGATGAAAAAAATGCACACTGTTTTTGAGAAAACTTACAGGTGTGGCTGAATTCTGCTGCTCAGTGAGAGTCCAAATTTCCGGAAGTGACCTTTCCATCAACTGCAGAGTATCTTCAAAGGCCTTCTGTAACTCCCTTCCTTGCTCATCAAACTCAAAGAGAAAAAGTACCTTTAAAATATGGTACACTTCATCTAAAGAGAAGAAATTTGAGAGAGTGGTAAGTTGTGTCCCCAGCTCCATTGACAGACCCATAGCTCCATAGATAGTTTCTTTTCCCAAGCAAAAATTTCTAATATCACGCTACAGTTGCATTCTCCCACATTTTCTTCTTTCTTCCCAAACGCTGGAGTAATTCAA